TGCACGACCTAATGCAGGGATTGCCTCGTAGCACCATACTAGAAACGCTCAGTGAAATCCGTAGATATGATATTTCATTTTATTGTACTGGGTCGTCTGCAAGTAGTCGAACAGGTACTGAAACGAGTAACTCCCACATGGGAATGTCTCCCACATCTGGTCTTCCTCAAGCAAAGCCCACCAGCAGGTATCAATATACCTAGGCTTCTTGTGGTCATGAGGAATTATGAAGAACATCAGCATTAGCATCTTCGCCACTCTCACTATCATATCCCGAGAGTGACGGAACTGCCCCGCCTTGAAGTCATCATACAACTGCTGCATAGTGATCCGCTTGCCTTTATATTTCTCAAAGAAAATCGACGATGGAGGAGGAGGAGGCGCTGAGTTCGGGTCAAACGCAGACGATCCAAAAGCAAGCCCGGTGACCACAACATACTCATGGGCGGAGAATCGTATAAAATGGTTACCAATATGGAACCACATCTCGTTCGGTTTCAGACCGACACGAGTCACCTCGCGCGAAAGAACCCCATGCATAGCCTTTGCAGATACATTGGCCTTATCATCAAACTGGAGGAACGAACCAAAGACCGAGCCCTGGAAAGCAGTCAAGGCCCCTTCAACGTGGCCCAACTCGTTCTTGATATCTAAACATATAGATCGTCGGCTGTAAACGTTGATTTTCAGCCCTTGATAATTACCGATCAGTTCCGGTCTCTTGTACGACCACGAATCCTAAACAAATCGCATTATTGTTGTTATTGTTAATTATTCAAATCAAATTACTTATACATTATCAAATAAAAACAATTATTTCTTAACTATTAAAGCAGATGAAATTAAATAACTTAAATTAAATAACTGCAACAAATGGAAGTTACCTCTCCAGAAGAGATGGCCTCCGGACCCGTGCCTTCAGTCGCTAAGTCGCCGCCCGCCATACCCGTTACGGCAGCCGTTGAGTCGCCGACTTCAGCGTGAAAAGCTTGATTCGTCAAATATTCATTATCTCCAAAGAAGGCCATGGCGTCGTTCACGTTTATCAGTTTTGGTTCTTTTTTTTTTAATTTATAACAGTAACTATGCGAATTAATGTCGCAAGATGGAATCCCAAATGTTTC